TTTCTCTAAAGATCTGGATTCAAGAAGTTGAGTTTATAGAGAGTGTACATTACCAATAGACTAATAAAATTCTAAACAAATATTACCTAGTAATAACATCAGACTATTTAAAAAAGAGTGTGATTGAATAATAATAATAATTTTGATATATCGTCGATATCTAATTCATTAGCCGATTAATCCAGATGAGTACTACAAAGGTCCATTATGAAATGATTCTTCCAACCTAGTTTTCTCCCATAGCAATGTTAGGATTCAAACTCCCAACCTTACTTATAAAATGTTGGTATTTTATCGATATAATGTATTAGTCGATTAATCTAGATCGGATACTATAAGTGTTTATTATGTGCCCAGTTTTTTTGTTTAAGGACCTAACACATAGATGAGATAAAAGAGAAGAAAAGAATTGAACCTTGTAGGAGAAGAAGACCCTTTTGTGAGCTGAGAAAGTATGTGGTTGGACCCTTCTCGTTTTTCTGGACCAGTGGATCCTTGTTTCCTTGCTCAGCTTTGGCTTCTCCCGATCTTCTAACCCACCACAATCCAACTCAAAATTAATTACTGTTTACTCAATGGTTAAACTCATGATCACAATCAACTTCATAACCAAAAATCTTATTAATCCCAGTAAAAAAAAAAACAGGTGTATTTCGAGTATTTGATAAGTTTCGATTTTATTTAGTATTATTTTGTAGTTATTTAATTGATTAGATATTGTATTTTTAAGAGTTCGATATTTAATTGTAAATAATTATTAATTTTTTCGTATAGTTAATATATTACTGTTAAAAGATAAAAATTCTTTAGATTGAATGCGAATCACATTTTAGCCCATTAATCACATATGGTTAAACCTAATTTTATTATTAATTAAATTTATTTAATATTGTATTAATTAATATATTTATTCTAAATTAACAGGACGAAGACTGTGTTCTCGATCCAATTATTCACATTTTGAAAAGATATCTCTTTAATCACATTTCCGGTTATTAAATCAAGCCATATTTGAGTACATTTTTCCAGTGTTTGAATATTGTAAATTGCAATCAATATGATGTTTAACTCCAGTTATGACTACCTCACAATCGATGAACGTGTCGTGACTAATATAACTATTGATAATTGTGTTGCTCTATGCTACAACTCTCTTGGGAAGGTCTTACACGAGTTAAATGGTGGTTGAATCGACTACGATAGAACTTTAACAAATTGAACGAAGACTGTTATGAGTGGACGCACATACATTCATATGTATTTATGTTTTATAAATCATGAAGATTCTTATTCTTGATAAATTTCACAACCAAATTCATGCAATGGGATTACATTGTCTTGTAGGTTTCAGACAAGTAGGCGCGTTGAGTTAGAGATCAACAATTTTGTTGTTTCTTTTTATAGAAATGTGTAGGCGGTTGATCCGAGAGTAGAGTTGGAGGACAAGTCGACAACAATTTATGGAGAAAGAAAACAAAAGACGGAGGATTACATGACCTACACGATCGTACCTGAATCCTTAAATATTGTTGTCGGAAGGCACATTAATTGTTGTAATAAGACACCAACTGGTCTTGCTGGCCCACCTCTTTCAATTCCATTTATTTCTCGTCAGTTTGCCAACCCAATTCTCTTTGACATTTCTACTCAACAAACCCTGAGTTTAGCCACACCAAATTTGTGTGACCTCAAAAAAAAATAAACTTCATTCAATTTTTTTTCTCGATAATTTGAGATGATAAGGTATCATTGGTTTACAATTTTCTTAATCAATTGATAACGTATATATTCTATAGATACAATTATTCGAATTTAAAATTTAAAAAAAAATTATTTTAATTATTAAAACCACTTGATGATAAAGATATCACATATCAATTTTAATAATTCATGTGTACGGTCTAGTGGGGTTGCTTTCCGTAACCCCTACTACTTAGCTCTTCGCTTCTTCTATGGCTGCTGATATTACAATTATTATTCCAGTATTTTCACTATCAATATTAATTATTATATATTTTTAAATATAACTACAAAAAATATTAAATTTTAATTATTAGGACATTGTGTCAATCCATATGGGTGGTTAATGCATCAGTACAAGTTGATATTCAAAAAACAAAGACCGAAATGCATCAAGATTTGATCAAAATAAAATTTGAACTACTCGTATCGGTTTAAGATCAAAATAAAATGTACAAATTAATATCAATAATTAGTTGGTTTCGTAGGATGGCATTCCCTTAAGTAAGGTTAGAAATTTGAATCATGATGTTTGTAAATGGAGCAAATTGAGTTGAAATGACTGTCATCGTATTTACAGTACTCAATCTAAATTAATCGATTAATAAATTAGATAATAATGATTATACTAAAAAATTACAAACTAGTAACACAGACGGCAGCTAGTATAAGTTTACCACTTAATTTAATAACTTAAATCTTTTCGAGATAAATATCAAACTTACATATAACTATCAGTTTAATTTGTGATCGATACATGAAATTTAATTTATAATTATTATACATAAAATTTAATTTGTGATTCAAATATACATATAAATATTTTATGCATATTTAAATAAATAAATATATTTTCACATATGATAAGTATAATTATTTATGTGTATAATATGTAAACATCAAATAGTGTTCTTCAATAATAGTGTTAGTAGTTTATAAAAATTGAATTAAATTAAAATTTTAAATATAGAATTACAATAGACATTATATTATATGTAGTGTTGATATTCCTTAAATGTATATTCTTTTTCCACATTTAAGTATACTTTTATTTTTGGATTTGTGTCTTATTAAATTTTTAATGATAAATTTATTTTCAGAATTTATTTAACAACTGAGAGCTTTTAACCACTTATTTTATAAATTGTTGACGAGTTTGTTTATTTTTTATATCTAAAATTATTGTCCTTTTATTACAACATATGTTTATTGTGAATTTGGAATTTTTTTTTTAATGAATGGAGAAAGAAAAGAGGAGCTTACTTGGTTCAAGTTGAGCGCTAACAAGCTGAAGAACAACGCCTGTGTGTGCAGTATGGGCGTTTGAATCCAACCAACCCAACATCATATCCTTCACATACTCCTTGGAATCACACTTCACCCTCACCACAGCTTTCACCTTCAACTGCTCCCCCGTCGTCGCTTTTATCGGAGTCGGCCCCGCCTTCCTCCGCTGCGCCACCACCATCATCAACTGCAGAGGGTTATGATATAAAACTTGGTTAAGGCGATGGTGGGCGGTGAAATGGCTATCAACACAATATTTTGTTGGGAATTCGGTGGCCATTGCAAGTGATGATTCAAGTATATTTTGTTTCACTCTTGTTTTATACTCTCAACAAATCCATCAAGTTGAGGACATATACCACGTGTGTTTTCAATCTTTAATGGCAGACATAAATTCTGAACATAAATTTATTAGATGTTTTTTTAAAGATTATTTGTACAAAAATATATTCGAATAGTTTTTAATAATAAAATTATCATCATTTAACAAGTTTAGATAATGTTAAATTTATTAGATGTGTTTTTAATCATGTTTTACATAAAAATTCATTTTCTCTATCTCCTGAGTTAATTCATAATTTTTATCTCCTGAGAAATTTTTTTATCTCACTTCTGGGTTTTTTACTCTTCCATATTTCATGATTTTAATGATATAATATTTTAGGGGCGTTTGGTTCACAGAATGTAAGATTACCTTTGAGAATAAGATTACTGGAGTGTAATATTACTCTGAGAATGTTATATTACCTTGTTTGGTTTGTTTAGCATGAATGTAAAATTACGATGTTCGATTAAAAAAATAGAAGAGTACATGGATGCATATTTTACCAAATTATCCATGTAATATATATATATTTCAACAAGTTAAACATTAATATTACATTATAAATATTTGAATGAAAATTCATAAAAATATTTTAATTATTACATTATCTAACTTTTGAGAAATTAATATAAATAGTATATGAAACTTATATTTTTTAAAATAATTTTCATAAGTATCATATTTATTTATATAAAATATAATATAATATGAAAAAAATAATATTATGGTCTTGAGTGGATAAAGATATTATTTTTCAATGTATAATATCTATTTTTTAAAAACTAGGAGTTAGATATTATTTTAAATAATTATATGTTTTATAACAAAATCAATTTTCACCTCATAAAATTATAAAGGTTTAATATATTAAATATTAAAATTATAAAATAATTTTAACTACTCAAATTTATTAATATTTTACTGAATCTTTGTATATTATTATTATTATTATGCTTACAATTTTGAGTAAAACACGAATAATAGAATTGAGAATGATACATATGAAAAGAATTCATTATTCTAGGGATATTCTTATTCAAAATGACGGGAATTTTGTAATACGTAAGAATTTGGAAGTAATGACATTCTCACCATCTTAATCAAAAACTATTACTATTGGTAATAAGTGTATCTTGAGAATTTTCACCTATAAGGGATTTTTTAGTCGTTTTCATTCATAATAGGTATTTTACTCCTTTTCGCACTTAAGGCAGTCCGACCATAATACACAAAAGAAATTTAGTCATTGTAATATATATAGGAATCTTGGCCTATAAGGGTATTCTAGACTTTTCTCTCACTCAAAGGCAGTCCCACGTTCGACTATCGAAGCTTCTAAAACAAAATATTCATATTAAAATGATTATACAAAAATTTAGAGATGATTTATTGTCTCAACTATGCCACTCTTGGTTGTACATGTCAGACTGGTGCTCTCTATCCTTTCTTTGATTTTCTGATCTTGACTATACATCTCAATAACCTTATTTTGATTATAAGATAATATTTATCTATGATCTTACTTAATCATTGAAAACGTATATCCAAATAAGAGTAGAAAGTATGAAAAAAAAATTAAGGATATCCTCAAAAGGTATCAAACAGAAAACTGTAGTAAAAAGCATATAAAATTAGCAAATGATTCTCGTCATTAAGCATTAGGCTATACAAGCATGTACAAATGTGGTAAATACAACTTTTAAGGGCTCCTATATCAACTTCAGCACCAGCCCCACAATAACTTGGGCATGGAAACCATTGCAGTAGCTGACCTAAACTACGTTTTCCGAATCGAGCGATTCGAACTTTATGTAATCGACATAAATCAAACACTAAATACTTCGACAGGATATAAGATATTATATATTAGAATGTATTTAATCACCTTAGGTGGGAATCATAAGTATCTAAAATGGTATCGGGGACGATTAGTGGCAATTTATCTATATACATGAAAAGCCTTCTGAGATTCTCCCTTGTCACTGTGGCCACATCGATTATATCCCGACTGTCAGTATATACCCAGAGATCCCCCGAGTCGACTCTCTTTAGACTATCACGACAGAAGGGGCACGACTGTGATCTTGCCCGCCTGCAATTCATGATTAAATGATTAATCATGATAATAAAGACTACCTGCAAATAGATCATCCATTGACAAACCTCTAAACACCAGATAGACCAACAACAGTTTTAAGGATTGTAAAAGAAAAGGAAGAGACTGCATTGCAAAGTTACTAGAGATAAAGATTACTGGATAGTATATGTCAAACACTAGTACTTCTCAGCTCTACTTTCAGTTGTTCCGAGTTTTAATCATACTAGAAGGATCAGGAAACTATGCAAAAAAAAAAGGGGAATCAACCTAGAATATTTACTCGGTTGTTTCTCAAGAACACTATCCAAGATAGATTCAGCAGTGCCCTTAGGTTTAAAGGTAACAAAAAACAATCTTCAATACATGGACCAATCGGTAATCCGTCTCCACTTATGTGGTAAGTGATGACAATAACAGTTTTTAAAAACAGAAAGAGATTGAAAACCCGACACTGAGTGATGACAAATATATATATTGTGATTAGAGAGAGAGAGTTAGAAAACAATAATTTTGAAGTCAGGACACGGTAGAAAACCCAAAAACAATCAGAAGCAACTCTGACTATACTGGATGACAAGTATGGTTCCTTCTTACAAAGATGGAAGGAAAACATCAAATTGTCTGTTCTACATGATAATGCGTGGTTGATGTTGAAAAAAAAACAACTGCTTTAAGCGGAGCAAAGATATGAAAGAAGCAGAAAGAGAGAGGAATAAGGGAAAGAAAGGCGGGGAGAGGAAGAATACCAATCACGGTAACATTTCAAACACATGGCATGAGTGCAGTTCGGCAGCACGATTTTACTGTTCAACTCCATGCATATTCCACATTCTTCTTCCCTTTCCACATCAACATCAGTAAGTTGCCTATACTCTTCATCTTCATTTCTTCGGTATCTTTCCATGCACACTGCTTTCTGTTTTTTATCTTCAGTATCAGTGACACCCCTCTGAAGTTGCAGTAATGAGGGATAGATAACAGCTGGATACAAAGAACTCAGAAGCCTTACAACAACTCGGAATAAGTGCACTCGAAGAGAAACAAAACACTCGGATTGAGAAAAGATACCATAGAACTCTCTTGTGCTTGCTTTCCTTTCATGCGTAGACATCGTGGTAGTTCCATCCACATAAACCTACAGGATATGATACAACGATGAAAACAACTATTTTTCAAGATTACAAACACTAGCTGAACATGAAGTAACAAAACATAACCTTGTAAATTAGGATTCTTAACAGTCCAAGAGCACCTGCAAGGTGACAATCAGTCCACTGCACCAAGAATAAGAACAGGTGTGCAGCTGGACTGTATGACATTCTCATTTGAAGGCATGCCCCATCATATTCCCTTGGAAAATCTGAAGCCCTGCAACTTGCATTTCATGATAGACAATTACACAGAACGAGAAGAACATAGTGATAATATTAGCCAATACACGCGAAAATATATCTGTTAACAACCATGACTGCAAAGCAGAATTACGCAGGATGAGCAACAGCCATGGTTTCACCTAGAAGTTCACTTATATTCTATCACTAAAATTCAGAGGAACCATATTAGCTACTCGTGGAAATCCGGTTCAGCATCGACAAAGAAATCAATATTTTATCTAATAGCTGTTTAAGATACCGGCATTTGTTTCGAAGGTCTTCATTAACAATGTAAAATAGAGATCCAGGAACTTAACTAACTAATCATTGTCATAACAACGGTACTTACTAAATTATTCTATTTACAAGCAATTTACATCAAATCCACGGATCAGTTTAACAAAGAAAACCCCGAAAAGCAAAAATAGTTTTAATGTATAAGAATCAAATCACTAAATTCATGCATTAATAAGCTGGGACCAGTAGTTGATAACTGGATATTCATGCTAGCAATATAGTGATGAAAGAAGAAAAACATATGGAAAGCAGTACAATCAAGTGGAACCCATTGGCCACGTGAAGTTGGATAGAGAAATAAAAACAAAGATTTATCAATATATCGAAAGGTATCCTCACAAACATGTAATATATCCTGGGATGGACCGAGGGGCGGGGGCAGTGTTATCATGTATTTTAGATATTTTCTTTGAGTTTTCTATTGATAATCTATTTTCGTCCCTGGAATTTTATAACTTTGCCCCTCTAGCATAAAATCTTGTGTTCTTCCATGAATATATCAATCTCTGAAAATAAACATTGCACTCTTAGGCTACTCTTAACGATACCAAAATAAGTTTTTACATTCAAAAAATGGCACACATAAATCATAATTAAGAAACAAAGTGTCCATTTGGGGAAAATTTGTCAGAAGAAGAAACTGAACTCAACCTGAAAATAAACATTGCACTCTTAGGCTACTCTTAACGATACCAAAATAAGTTTTTACATTCAAAAAATGGCACACATAAATCATAATTAAGAAACAAAGTGTCCATTTGGGGGAAAATTTGTCAGAAGAAGAAACTGAACTCAACCTTCTATAATAAGCTGAAAGATATAACTTCAGCAAAAACTAAAAAAGAAATCTAAGCCCCCTCGCCTCTCAAGAAAATCAAGTATTCTTAATCTTCAGGAACTAAAAAATGGTTTAATACCCAATATTTTCCCTGGGGAAAAAGGTGCAGAGAATCAAATACTGAAGGGTGAAAATCAAATTGTCTTAAGCTAAAAGCAACTGAAGAAAGAACATTGATTTTTTTCTATATATAACAAATGGAAGTTAGAAAACGGAAGAAGTTGTTACATGTAACGCATGTTGAATATCAGCTTCAAGCACTTTAAGAGAGTCCTTAAAAGACTTTCGCATGGAACCTATATACATCTCTCCCCACCCCTCAAAATCTAACCCCAAAAAGAAACCCTAATTCCCTTTCTCCAAGCTTAAGTTTTTCTCACGCACGCAGGAAGAAGTCTCTCTGGATTTTGGTGGGTGATTGTAGGTGCCGGTGACAGTGGCTTCGTATTTGAAAATGAAGGGAAGATGTTAAAAGCTGACACGTGGATCATCGTCTATCGTGGAGCGTCCATATCTATATACTCTACTCCTATAGATTTTACTTTTTTAAAGGCAATAGGATATATAGAATTAGGGTAAATTATAAAAATAATTATTTTATTTTATTTTTCTTCCTATTTTATTCATTGTACTTTTAATTTTTTTCAATTTAATCATTAAATTTTATATATTAATTTTTTTAATCACACTTCCGTTAATTTATTAACGCAGTGATAACGTGACATTTTAATTCAAAATTTTCTTTCTTTTTCGATTTTTCGACATAAGATCCTTCAACCAAAATACCCACCACTCCAAAGCCCAAACATCACCAAAACAATGCTAGTCACCAAAATCACTACTGCAATCCTCACCTTATATTGTCTTATAAAAGTAGCAGTAAATAGCGGAATCAACACATCGACGACAAAAGCCAGAGCTGATGCCACCGCAGCTTGTATGGGTCGATGCCACCGCAGCTTGTACGGGTCGATGCCACCGCAGCTTGTACAGGTTTCGATAATTTCTCATCATTTCAACTCTCAAATATCTCTTTTCGCTTCTCTTTTCTTATTTCCACAGTAACTTTTTAATCGGAAATGCATGAGAAATTTTTATCTAACTCTGAATTCTAAAGAGGTATTGACTTGAATAAGAGTCTATTAGGAGAAGACCCGATAAAATAACTATCAGGACCATCAACAATTTAATGTGTAATGTTGGATTCATGTGGCCTCAGGTGAAGCACAAATATTCAATTAAATGTTTATCATATAATAAAATGGAAACAATGATGAGAGTTAACAAATTCCGCTAAGATAAACTAAGTTCATTGTTGAAAGTCACTAACAAAGTCAATGTGTTTTGTAGAATACGCGTACAAAGTCGAGGACAATCGCCCTCTCCCTCCATCCATCCCTACCAGCGGGGCTTTGTTTTATTCCAGTACATCAAACCATACAGTAACAGTGTTTCATATTCATACAGTATTTCAAGATTCATACAACCGCCACCAATATATCAGACATTGTTCGCCGATGACCGGCACCATCACATATGGCTCTTGAGGAAGTCCAGAATCAGCTCGTTAACCAGTTCGGGTGACTGCTCTTGAACAAAGTGGGTTCCTTCAGGCAAATATATTATATCCAAATTAGGTACCAGTTCTTTTGCCTTCCCAAACTTTATGTATTCTTCCATCCCAGGAAATTTAAAAACATAATCTTTGCACCCCATTATCAGTAATGCTGGAACTTTAACTATTGGATCTGCTATGCCAAAGTCTTCATCAATTGACCTACAAAAACATAAATTCAACTAAAACCTAAGCAATTTAAAGACATATTCATACAGTATATACAGATGTTATGAGTAGCTTGCTGCTATAGCATATGCATGAAGACAAAAGGAGTAAAGGACCATGAGGTGTTCAGAATCGGAACATATATGCGAACAGTTCTGAAAACAACACCATACCTATATGGAACTTGCAATGCAGTCTTGAATCCAGATTTCTCGTATAAAGCTCCATATGTTGTGAGATCTTCCTCGGTGAACCAAGGTGGAAGAGGAACAGAAGCATCCACCAAATCCATGACCTCCTGGTTTTCAGCTGCGATTGGTATTTCACTTTTGGAGAACAGTATGTAGATGTTCCTTACAACAGTTTTAGCATCGAATCGTCCAAAGTCGGCTTCAGCTCGTCCAGGTTCCTACATGAAATCCGGAACAAAACATAACTTAATCAAGTAAACACAGTCATTTTTCAATTACTTCCAACATTTCAACAATTAGTCATCCAAAACATACCCTCCATCTTGACATGTAGAAGCCTTCTGGGAGAGACTCTCCGTACTTCCGAGGTCCCAAAGGAACATGTGGGACTCCCATCGTTATAACACCCGAGACTCTCTTCGGGTGAAGGAGAGTTAACAGATAAGCAAGCCTGGCACCAAAATCCTTAGCAACAACAAAAACCTACCCTCGGGGACAGAAACAGACTTTTATATTAGGTGGACAAACTTCTAAAATTTCTCACAATCAGATTATAGATAGATAATACAAATAAAATATACGAGAACTTAAAATTTTAACGCGAACTACCCCCACCCAACCACCTTCGGTCCATCCCTGCCTACGCTCATAAACAAGTAGCAAAGCAACAAAGGTAAAGAATCAATAGCGTAGTTCTTCACTCGAGCAAAGTGACAGTAACATGGTGCGCATAAATCTGAACGGGAAAACTACCAAACCAACAAGCCCTAACTCATTCAAACTTTATAGAAGTCGGAAAATTTGACCCTAGTAATTCCGAGATTATCTAAGACAGCAACAAGGTTGGCAACGATGTCAGCAAAGGTTGTCTTTTCAGGTTCGGGTGGTATGTCGGATAGTCCGTAGCCTCTATAATCGGGTGCAAGGGTCCGGAATCCAGCATCGGCGAGAGCTATCATCTGGTGCCGCCATGAATACCATATCTCCGGGAGCCCATGTAAGAAGAGCACCATGTTAGAACCTGAAGATTGAACACCATGTAAGAAACACAGTGAGGGTTTTCACTAAGATTTTCGGTAAGAATAAAATATCAATAAGATTACTGAAAATATTATATTTTGTGTTTAGTTAGTTTAGGAAAAATATAAAATTATCGTGTTTGATTAAAGGAAAAAAAATTATTAAAATATATATTTGAGTAAATTATCTTTATTATATATTTAGTTTTTTAATAAGTTAAAAAATATTTATATATTTCTTTTAAAAAATTAAATTTTTAAAATTTATATAAATTTTTTACAAAATTAAAAATATAAAAATATTTAATGAGTGGATAAAATTTTATTTTACTCTTGAATTTTATATAAAATTTTAATTATAGATTTTTTTGATAAATCTAAAATAATTTAAAGATAAATTTATAATTTAATCTTCGTAGATTTTTTATTATTTAATGACAGAATCTAACATTCCTACGCTTTACCCTTCCCCAAGCTCACCCCACTGCTAGTCTGCTACCAACGTACAAGCCCACCAGCACACTTTCATCTCGCAAGCCTAACTCTTATTTTCCATACCTTAAGCCCAGTAGCCTCATTCCATGACCCAAATTATGGGTTAGTTTTCGATCGACTTGAGTTGAGTTAAATAAAAAAATTTGAATTATTTAAGTTGAAAAGTTTTATTTTATAATTTAAATTTTATTTTATTTTTTAAATCGAATCGAGTTTATAAAATTTGAGTCAAGTCAAATCAAGTTGATTTGAGTTGTTCAATTTTATGTTTAAATTTAATTGTAAATAATTTTAGTGTTACTATACACTTATTTTAATTTAAACAGTTTTCTATAACTACATACAATATACATATATATTCTTTCATATTTTTCATAGGATAAATTACACTATTCATTGTCCAACTATATTCTCTCTCCTATTTTAATAATTGAACTTTATTTTTTTTAATTTAATCATTAAACTTTTAATTTACACTTATTTTAATCACTCTTTGAAGATATTGAATATATTTTATTATTATTATTGTTGTTGTTGTTGTGACATGACAAATATGTCAATGTTTAATGTCAAAAATTTAAATAAAAATAATTGATTTTTTTATTTTAAATCTCTAAAATCAAACATAATCCCTAAATCAACACCCAATTCAATCCCTAACCTACTCCACACCGATCCCCACCGAAAAGGATAGGATAGGTGATGATGATGAAGACCCATCTAATCCGCTATGGAAACACCATTCATGATGATGATAGAGGTGTGTAAAATTATTCGATTCGGTTGATCCGATCAGTTGACCCGCCGACACAGATCTAAAAAAATTGAGTAATTCTCTAAAAAAAAATTACCCGGCCGGGTCGGGTACCCGGCCCGACATTTCTAGGGTCGGGCCTGGGTCACAAAATCTTTTTTTTTGGGTATCCGGTTATTCAAGTACCCGGTTAATTTTTATTTTTTATTTATTTTTTTATATATAATTATATAAAATATAATGAATTATTTATATTATGGATTATTATATTTTGTATTTTGAACTTTTAAATTTTATGTTTGGTTATTAGAGTATGTAATTCGAAGTTTCGAACATTTTAAATTTGTATATATATATATTTTTTTAAATTAATAATTTGAAAATAAAAAATTAAAAACAGGGTATCGGGTACCCGATTACCGGATACCCGCAAAATTCGGGTACCCACTTACCGAATACCCGTAACATCCGGGTCGGGACACGGGCCGAGAAATCGTCGACCCGGAAGTTCCGGATACCCGGATTTACACACCCCTAGATGATGAGATATCAAAGTTCACCCTCACGGCCTTCTCCGTAAAAAGAACCTCAATCCCTAAACCCAAATACTTTGGACGATTAAGGTCGTACTTGTTTTATGTTGCGATGTTCGGTGGAAAGATGGTGGCCACCGACGACGCCAACAGCTACGTTGGTGGTGGAATTTTTTTGACAGTTTTGCGCATGGAAATGCAACCGCCACCAATGATGATGGCCTCACGGGGAAGGAGCATTTGGATGATTCAACTCAAGGAAGTATCGCTAAAGCTCATTGCTCGACTTCAAAGTTGTTTGATCGACGACATTAGATTGTTGGATAGCAGAGGTTTTGCCACTGTAGGAGTGAATATGAGTTTGGGGTTTGTATGTTGGGATTAAGGATTTATATTATTTTATTTTTTTCACTAAAATCCAACATGGTATTAAATAATAATAAAATATATCATATCACAGTAATAATAATAATAAAATATTTCATGTCATCAAAGAGTAACCAAAATTGGAGTAATTCAAAAGTTTAATGATTAAATTAAAAAAATTGAAGTTTAGTGACCAAAATAGGATAGAGAAGATAGTTGAGTGATGAATGGTATAATTCACTCTTTTTATATGTGATATACATCAACTCAAACTTTAAAATCAATC